TGGAATAAATCCGGCATGCCAGCTGACAGAAAATAGCGGTGATATTAGACATAACTCGAGTGACAATTTTAAATCATTTTAAAAAAGACTGGCTACTCGAAGAAGCTCAATGAAACAAGATAAAATCGAACCATGTCTGAAGGAACTCATTCGGGGCCATGGAATTTAGGTTAAATACGAGAATATAAAAGGAAAAAGCTCATGGCCAAAGATCGGCGCTTGCATCAACTGGATACTATTTGTTTCGGTCTCTGCAAAATTGAAATTTGACTCAGTTTTACATCGACAAAGGGTCATGGATACTAATGTGAATCTTTTTTCCTGAATTAATTTAATTTCAATAAAAAGATATTTATAAAAATACATAACTCAGGTCTATCTCTTTTCATTCGGGTAGAAGTAATGTTATATAAATATATATCCCTATGCCTTCGGCGGTGTCCGTGTTTGTAGTACGTTCTGCTTGAAATACGCTGCAATCGTCCGGTAGTCTAATACTCATGTTGAAGGAGATTGATTGTATTTGGATCTCATATTTTCATTGAGTCTTGAGCCATCTGCGAAAATGGCTATTGCTGCTTGAACTAGGGCATTTAAGTTTTCAATCGTTGCAATCCCCCTCGCACAATCTCCAAATTTTGTTTTAAAAACTGCTTTTCTACAGGGATCCCTAATAGGAACGGTATTTTTAGGAAAGATAATATCGGGGAGTGCTCTACAATATAGTATCTCCGAGGTGGAGCAAGTGAGTCTAACTGCGTTGCTGATAGAGCTTTTAGAAGAACTCCTGTTATAAGGCGGCTACCGCTGAACTATTTGTGCTTAAAATGAATATTGGCGATTGCAAACCAGCAAAGGATGACGGTATAGAAATAGATGGGTTTGATCTTAGGCCCAACGTTTTGACTATTTCAGAAACCGAATCTCTAAAATTTTCCGGAATTAGAGTTATATGAGAGGAAGTCGTCATTTTTTTTCGATTTCACTCATTTGCTATAGCGTCCGCATTGTGAATCAAGTTTAATATATCGATTTGTCTCTCATTCTATGAAGTTTGATGCATAAATGCCCATCTCCCTCTCTCTCTCTCTCTCTCTCTCTCGATATACTAATATACTTTGTGTGCAAAGTACCACCAAGAACAACATTTGAGAAAACTCTGAACAATATTCTCATTGGGAGCGGAGCAACAGACAAACAAGTAGATATTAGCCTCTCTTTTAATTATATTTTGACATTTCTATATTATCTGTCATTTGGCTTCTCTCTATTACTGAGCCTGTTCTGCTAGATAAGAGAGAGACAGATAGTATATAAAGGTTGATTTTTTATGAGCTATAGCAAAGTTTACAAAAAAACACATAAATTTCAGAAAAATGCATGAAATCTTTATTTGAACTGAATTGGAGACGCTAAGCGAAACCAGTTCCTTCAGCGCTAAGTCTTTCTAAGAGAGTGGAGTTCTTCCACTTCCTATGTTTCTAACCAATTTTCGAAGTTGGAGTTTTGTTGCTCATATGAACGACATGACCTACCCAGGGTAGTTGCTGTGATCTAATTCGGAAACTTCGTTGGTGTCTAATGGCTCGGAGAGATCCTTTTGAGACAACTCTAGGTGCTGCTTCGCATTGGTTTAAATATCCGCATAAATTTTGCGGGGTTCCAACTTCAGGCAGCTTCTTTTCATGCTATCCAAGGCAGACTTAAAATCGATGTCGATCTTTATTGCATGGATCTCGATGTTGATGCAGAAGTCACATTGGTCAGCTCGAATCTCTATTTAAATATCTATGCAGGTAGACCATCGCATGCCGTCACCTTATTGTTCTCCAGGAACCTCTTTTCATCATACTATAGCTGGGTAATAGCAGTTGTATGTCATCATTTCCATTTAGAGTTTCTGGATCCAATGTTTCATATCATTGAAATTGTTGGGCTGAATACCGCCAAAACACTTCTAAGCACATCTCTTTATCCAAATTCGGAAACCTGCGGCAATTTACAGCATTCAATCATTAAACTCTTTATAAAAGCCCAAAAGCAGTTAAGGGAAAAAATATATTTATTTAAAAACTATTAATAAAATTCAAAAAAAAAATTATGCTGTTAAATTTCCACTTCTCCTTGTTGAAATCGAAAGCTTACGTTGAACGAAGAAACCTACGCGTAAATCTGCGCAAACAACTTCTTTTGATTTAATTGAATTCTAGGACCACCTTTGTTGGGATATACATTCGGCGATGGCAATTTAAGCATACTTCTTAATCTTCTGAAAGGGACGCGTGGAGAAGCTTAACAGTTGTATTAAATATCACTTAGGCATTGTGTCTTCGCCGCCTTCGCATATCCTACGCTTATTTGCTCATCAGCAAATGAAAAGGCCTTGGAAGCGAAGAGGAAAACTGGAAACAGAATCTCGTGTCAACGTCTGCATTTATCGCTGAAAATTAACACGGCGGATGTCATAGCGAATCTAAGAGCTCATAATTTCCTTTCCCAACACCATTTCGAGTATGGGAACGCTTCCCAAGTAAGCGATTATATCAGGTACCCGTACCTATGTATATTTTCTTTGCAAGGGAGAGAAAACCAGCTTATTTACGATTTATTTATTATTTATATTATAAAAGTTTACCCATTTTGCGGTTTCGAAAATAAACGTAAATAAAATGCATTTTAAATATTTTTTTTCATGATTTTTATTTTTTTTATTATAAAGTCTAACCGTTGCATTGTCTGTGAAACGCTACGATCATTCTTTGGCAGATATTTCAGCCATAATTTGACGAATGCCGATTTTCAAGCGTTCAAAAGTTAATGGTTTATACGCATAAATATGGTCCCTGGTGTGATCCTACAAAAAAACGTCCAACGGTGGCGAATCATCATACAATATCCGGGACCAATTGACATCGCCAAGACGGGATATTACGCGATCGGGGAATTTTTTACGGAACAAAGCCATATTCGGCCGTGTTGTGGGGCATGTGGTACTATCTTGTGGAAACCTTAATTGCAGGCCAAGAGAAGACATTTGTCATACGACCATAACTATCCAAATATACAGTGACAGTCTTGCCGTTGTCCCTTTAAAAGAAGTAAAGCCCATTCATACACCTTGGTAGCCGCGGTAGCCGAATGGATAGCATTGCGTACTGCCATTTAGAAGGCCGGGTTTAAATTCTGGTACGACAAACATCAAAAAGGTAGAGAAAATTAATTTAAATAAAAAATTTAGTTAAATTTTCTAACTGCGGTCGCCCCTCGGTAGGGAATGTCAACCCTTTCGAGTGTATTTATGACATGAAATAAGGCTCTTTATAAAATAACCATTAGGCGCTCGGTGGTGGCTTAGTATAAACTGTAGGTGCCTCCATTTGTTGGGAAAACGTAGAACCACGAATTGGAGGAGGAGCTCGGCCGAAAACGGTTTCAACGGTTACAAAGCGCCAATCAAAAATTATAATTTATGGTCTCTCTTCAATTATCTACGGATTCTCGGAGTCGTGATAGAACAATTTTGCTTATTTATGCATTTCCGGAGTGAGAAAAGCGCCTAGTTGATGAAGAATTATTTTTTCGAAAAACTGCCGTCCTTTGCTTGTTGTTCAAGAACCCTATCGACGTATGTACGCCGTTTTGAATGGTCGACTGGCTTCAGTTGTTGTGTGAGCCGGACTTTATGTAGATGTAAGTGCAAAATACGCCATAAAGTCCCCTAAGAAAGCCCCAGCTTTTGAGGATGTCGAGATATGTACACATTCAAGTCTTCGGCTACACTTTCAAATACTGTAGGGATATTTGATCTGTAACCGATACAGTCTCTTAAAACAGTCTTTAAAATGTTTCCAATAAACATGAAGCATAAAGCCTGGGGCATGCTTGGTTCGACAGTTAAGTTTAAGAGATGCAAGACCTTTATGTTAGATATATTTTCTTTCCGTTGGCATAAATAGGCGGGTGCTATGGCTGAGAGGTATGTAAAATGTTAAGGTCGGCTATTATTTGTTTTCATTTTCTCGAAAGAACTTATGTCATCTTTTGTTTCTTCAGAATCGGTCTGCACTACCTCTTCACTCCCAAAAAGTATTGGTTCAACAAATTTGCTAGAGGAAAATTGTGCAACATATTGGGTTTGTTTGTTAAATTCCGTTTGGGAGATTTTTCACTCAAAGACAAGCCACGTTCAGGTCGGCCAAGTGAAGTTTATGATGACGATATCAAGGCTTTAATCTAATCGGACATGTATGTAACTGAGCGTGAGATTGGAGAGAAGTTAAGCATACTAAAATCAACCGTTCAAAATCATGTACGACGTCTTTGGGTACCACAATGCTTGTGATATGCATCTTAAACGCAATGAAAAAAATCCGTTTTTGAAGCAAATCAGAACTGGAGATGAAAAATGGATTGTTTACGATAACGGCAGTCGAGAACGATCCGATCATGGTCCAAGCATGATGAAGCGCCACAAACCAGTTCAAAGGCTGATATCTACCAAAAGAAGATTGGGCTGTCAGTTTGGTATGGATGGAGTTAGGATTGGAAGGGTGTGGTATATTTTGAGCTGCTTTCAAGGAACCAAACGATTAACTGGGATGTTTACTGATATATCAAATGTGCCCATCAACCAGAAGCAACTCAGAATTAGTCACTCGCCAAAACTGAGAGAGCTTGGCTGGGAACTGTTCATGCATGCACCAAATAGCCCTGACCTTGCACCGTCCGTCTACTATTTGTTTCGATCTTTGCAGAAATCATTAAATGGTAAAATTTTTGAAAATGACGAGGCAATAAAATCGAATTTGGCTTAGTTTTTTGCAGTTAAAGGCCCGAAGTACTATGAGCGCTTAATAATGAGGTTGCCGGAAAAATGATGGAAGGTCATCCAACAAAATTGAAATTACATAATTGATTGAAGTTCAATATAAAGTTAAAAAAAAATTATTTACTTTCTTTTAAAAAATCGCACACTTATGCCTACGCATACGTGTACTTACCGTAATTTACGATTGCGATGCACCGAAATAATAACCAACGCATTGCCCAGCACCGCTGCCGAGATAATCAATGCAAATATGAAACCCTTCACAATGAATATCGACAGACTCAGCCATTTGTCGCGATTGTTTTGCTCAATGATATCGGTAATATTAAGGGCGTGCAAATTGTTGTTGTTGTTGTTGGCGGTAGTGCTGCTGGTGTTGCCATATATGCTACCATTATAACTGTCCACAAATGTATCATTGAGCATTAAGGCGTTGAGTGTGGCCTCCGCTTGAGTGAAAGTGCTGGCCAATGCCGTTGCTGTGGCTGTTGTCACTGTAGCTGTTGTTGTTGGTGTTGCATATTTGCCATTGCCATCGGTATTCGTGTATAATGAATTTCTTTTGACTGTCGTCGCTGCTGATAAAGCTGAAGATGGTGCTCGGGTGGAATTGAAGCTGGTGTGTGAATCGCTAATTGGGTAGGGTGTTTTCGCTGAGGTTGTAGTTGTTATTGCCACAGCAAATGGATACGTATGCAAGTGGGCAGCGCGTGTTGTAGCCGCTGTAGATTTGCTGCTGGACGTTGGCAGTAAAGTTGCTGCGCTTGCTGCCTGCGTCGCTGCACGCGGCGTGACGGACGTCGTCGTGTTTGTTTGTGTTGCATTCGCTGTTGCGAAACTTTGTGTCGCAGCCGGGTGGCCGAGATATGTGATGACGGCTAAGCTGGCCGCGATTGTGGTCGCTACGCTGTTGCGTCGAATGCTGGCGTTGTAGTTGTTATTGTTATTGCTACTGTTATTCAAATTGCGATTACGCTCAGTTGGATTATTGTTGGTGTTATTGCTTTGGCTCTCCGCATTGCTGCTACTCGCTGCGTTCGCTGTAACGTTCAGCATCTGTAACATTGTGCAGCATCTGTCAAAGACGACGCTGCCAATTGGTTTTGTTGTTGTTGTTTTGGATTTTGTGGTTGTTACTGTAGTTGATTGAATTGCGGCGCGATTGTGGTCTTATTACTGGTCTTCGACCCTCGGTGCTGTGCGGCGTGTAATTGCTTTTGGTAACAACTTTTAATTTTGTTGTTGCTTTTAACTGCTGTAAGCGCAATTTCGATTGTGCATACTCGCGCATAAAATATATTTTGTACTTCTCACTGGAGTATTTATTTTTCTTTTGTTGTTGTTGCTGTTTTTTCTTCCTTACTTTTTTTCAATGCCTCGGGTAAACTCTTCTGCTCGCTTCCTCTGCGCTTATACGTTTTTCCAAGTATTTACTTCAATTGACTGGAGACTTAATTGCAGTGTAACGCAGCGAGCGTGCACTTGAACTTAAATTACTGTCTTATTGTGCCATTGCTTCGTACGATTTCGCTTTTAATCCTTTGTCCTGTGGCTCCTTACTCACTTCTGCATGGACGTACTCTTATACCCTTCGATTGCTGACAATTGTAAGTTCAGATATTGTTTTACACTTTATATTGTTGTTGTTACATTTATTGTTGTTGTATTTGTGATTGTTAAGGCCAGCGGATGAATTTTGGGTCAGCAATTTACTGTTAAACGTTCTTGCTATTGTTGTTATTGTTGCTGTTGGCACCGCTGTTGCTGCATAGCTTAATGGCATTTGCATTTTCTGCACTCGATTCGATTGCATGAGTTGTGGCAATTGCAGTTGCATTCGCAATCCCAACATTGTCCTTATTATGGCAGTCATCAGCAATAACGGCTTCGCCCAGCTTGACAACAATGTCATTGTCAGCCAAGCAGCTGTTGTGTGGGCATGTGTGTGCGTGTGTAAGTGTGTGTGTGTGTGTGTGTGGCAAATGCTCTATTGTCGTAGCTAAACCTCTTTAGGTCCTCTCCTTGTTGTCTAGCAACAATTTTGCCAGCAGCAAGCAGCACCTCAACTGCCCACACTTGACTCTCACACACTCAGTGCTGACTGCTTTTGCACTGCTGTTATTTATCGTTGACTGCCTTAAAGCACAATAATGCTGATCAATGAATTTTCCCCTCCTTTTTGCTTTCGCTTTCGCTTTCACTTCCACTTTTACTTGCACTTGGACACTCGCCCTTTCACTTTAATGCCAGCCAATCACAAATCACTCGGCACTAAATTTCATTTCATTTTCCTGCTGTGCATCAAGGCCATGGTCGCCAGGCGCTTGGATATGACTTTTTGGCTGCCTGAGTGCAGCTGAGGCTATTGATTTATTGGTGATTCTTCGTTGTTGTTTTATGTTGTTGTTTTTGTTGTTGTTGTTGGTTTTGTGTTTGTTGATTTAGAGTGAAATCAGCAAATAAGTCAGCGAGCGCTGTTCGTCGTCGTCACTGTCGTCAAATACTGATTAAACGTTTTTAATCAAATGCCAAGCAAAAATCTGTAACGGAAATTAAAAAGGACATGAATTAGCGAAAGTGAGCGAAATTGAGAAATAATAAAATGATGATGGCTTTTTTTCCTATTAATTAAGTGATTTATTTAGTCCATGGGATATTTGTGTGGCGCTCAGTGTGGGCGACGCACAGTGGTTAGATCTCATACAAGTAGTGCTCAAAAAGAGAATTATGAATGAAGTTGATTGTAAAATTGCACTTTTAATAATTTGAGGTTTTTTAATACCATAAAAAAATCAGCGAATTTCTTGTTGGTGGTATAGTAGTAGAAACCAAAATTTTATTAAGGGGTAGAACCACTGTAAACTCCAAAAAAACTTATTTACCTGTCTTCAAGAATTTTTTGGAAAGTTATTAGTTTGAAATTGATTTAAAGAACACGAATTTCCAAAACAAGAAAAAAATATTTAAAAACGGCGGACATTTCCGTATTGAGTTTTTCTTGGGAAAATCTCAGCGGCTTGCTTCTCCTATGGTGCTCTATGTTTAAAAGCTTAAGCGAAAATCCCATTTAATACGATTTAAAATTATTGGAGTTATAGTTAGTTAGTTAAGTTGCTCAAACACGTGGTCCCTTAATGGAACACACCTAGGGCCGTTTACAAAATGTCGGATTAAATTAGGGCCGATTTCCCCATCTCCGGTTAAGCACTTAATTATAACTTTATCAGAAGGTAGCATAAAATGCGTTTTCACAATGCTCGGTTAGGGCGAATCTGTCAATAAAGTTGCGGTAAACTTAACGCCAACATTAAGTGGCGATTAGGTCTTAATCAGAGGATGATTTGACAGCTGGAAATTATAAATAATGAAATATTATTCCGGTGTTAGCTTTAAAAGAAATTTTATTATAGAAAATATGGAACGCTCTGGCTGCGTTTTTTACTGGGTGACAGTGGTTATGGAGGCTTTGAACCTCAAATTCGACATAAATGACTTCCCAATCAGTCTTTTTATTTTCGATTTGGCGCTCCGCAAAAGTTAATGAAATACTTTCTTCAGTGCTTAAAAAATTTGAAAGATGATTTCTGTTTTTATTTTCCATTATTTTAGAATAATTTAAAAAAAGTGAAAAAAATATGAGCTGTTATGCAGCTTTCAACTATTCACAAGGAAAATTTTTGTGAATTTACCTTAAAATATTCACAATAATTAAACTAACCAAAAGTTAGGTAACTGGAGCTCGGTGAAAACGAAAGTGTCACATTAGCCTATGTGGCGGTTAGCTATCCTCCAGTTAAAGGTTAAGGCACGTTTTCATAATGACCGATTAGCTGATCGTCAGACGGACTGATCTGACATTTTCGTTTCCACCAAATTCTGGTTACTTAACTTCTGGTTAGTTTGATCATTGTGAATATTTTAAGGTAAATTGTGAGTACATCAAAACTGCATGACGGCTGGTACTTGCTTACATTTATCTACACGATATGGTTAAGTAAAGCTTAAGGACGTCCGTTTTTTCTTTAATTTTTTTTTATATTTTATTTTTTGGTTATGAAAAAAAAGTGGTAGTGTAATGAAATTTATTTCATATATTTTTATTTGGGAAAAAAGACTTGTATACAATCTATGTAATATATTTATATGGTTTTCTTGCACCTCAGGTATGTTTTCGTCGACATCAACGGATGTTTCTGCTGGTTCATTCTCTTGAACTTCTACCTCATCCAAATAAGAGTCATTTTGGATAGCAAAATTTTGCAACACTCTACAGTCAACAATGATGCTTATAGTTGTGCTGAGCGAAACTCTCAATCTATAGCTTCTCGATATGCAATTTCGAGTACAGATTTGATATTCGCTGTAAGGATTGGGATGTACACATCATGTAGGAGTAGTTGCTGACTAACCATAACAACTACCACCCAATTGAAAAAAGTCCCTAAATTCGTTTTGCTCAAACCGGTGATTCAGACAGCTATTATCAAAAATAATGTTGTCATGTTTAGGACCAGGTCATCTGCATACAAAGTCCATTACTTTCAATTTATAAGTATCTTTTTATGCTTTAAAAACTTTCGGCATTTTCTTCTCCAGTTGATTGGATTCTGACATGAGAGCAATCTAAACACCCGTACACTTTTGGAAACTTGTGCTCTCAATTTTCCTATTTTTTACGGTATTCTGATGAATGATCGGACAAGTGTCACAGTAGCAATGTATAATATTTACTACCCGACCTGCAGTTGCCACTTTTATTACGCCCAACGCTAGAACACAAATTAAAAAACTTCGTGATGCACAAAAACGTAATATTAAAAGCTAAGTTTCCTGCTGCTTTTTTCATAAAAAATCAAATAAATTATCAACAATATTTATTTACTCAAAGCACTTTATATTCACAAATCTTTCAGTGCGGCCTTTAGTTTTATTTTCTTATTTTTCCAAGGCATATTTCGCTCTAATTTTGGAAAGAAGAAATCTACGAAAAAAAACTTATTCGTCGTATTAAAAAAAAAATATTTGTGAATCAACGCAGCCGTATTGTCAGTGCTTTCCTAATTTATCTTAATTAAATTTATTTCAAAGTTAACACCGGATTACAATGTATCCAATATTTTACTATTTGCAGCTGTCTAATCGCCACTCAATGCTGGCGTTAAGTTAACCACAACTTTATTGACAAATGTGCCCTAACCGGAGGTGGTGAAGATGTCCCTTAGTTCTGTTGGCGCGGAGTTCTATAGAATAGATGGAACTTTATAAATTCTGACGTTTCAGCGGCAAGGCAATCAAAGTAGAAATTACCGAAGGCAGTGGCAGAGGTAGTGCTTTAACGTCTCCTTCTCGCCTATGTCCCTGCAACCCATTCTTCCACCAGCACATCGAACAGTATCGGTTGTTATGCTCGTGGAGGTTTTGCTTTCAAGGAGGAGAGACTTAGTTCCTTTTGTATCGATCAATGACCAGGGAATGTCTGCCCCTCCGAGCGCTTTTATGACATAAAAATATAACAAAAAATCATCGACCGTTCGGAGGTGGCTTAGTAGAAACAGTAGGTTCCTCCATTTGCCACTTTTGAGTTTAGTGATTTAATGGCAGCTTGGCCGTCAGGTCAAGTAAAAAGTTCGTTCGGTTTTTATCTAAGAGATGGCGTGATTATTCACAGTACTTGTGTTTATTCGCGTTAAAAGTTTGTCTTTGACAGTTTTTCGATTGAGTGATTCAGTACGTTGTGAGCGCTCGTCAAAGATGGACACCAGCAACGAGAAATTTGTTATATTTTACAATTTTTCTTTGATCAAGGCGAAAAAGCAGCTGAAGCGGTTCAAAAAAATTAATTTAGTTTATGGCCCCGTTCCGGTAATTTCGATGTCAAAGATGCACCACGCGTCGGGTGGCCTGTCGTCGAAAATTGCGATAAAATCATGGGATTAGTGGAAACAGACCGTCACGTGAGCACTTATTTAGTTGCTGAGGAACTAAAGATATGCCAGAAAATCGTTCGGATTCAAAAAGAAGTCCGATGTTTGGGTGCCACTCGAACTAACGCAAAAAAACATGATGGACCGAATTTCCATTTGCGAATCGCTGCTGAATT